TTGATTATCGGAGACGCATTTCAATGGACTTGATTACGGACAATGCATAACTTAAATTTCACCAGGAAATTTTGCAGTGTGCTCTCGCAATCGCGTACTTAGTCATTTTTACAAGGTTCACCATTTTTGATGTCACGTGATAATTATGTAAACAATGTCTGTCCAGTTTGTGCGAACTTGCACCTCTATACTCAGTCTTTTGATATATATAACTAAATTACTGTTCTGAACGAGACAACAGATAGAGAATGTTTTATTTAAAAACATCACAAAACCTTCTCGCTACCTTAAGTTGCATTCAGACCGTACCATTTTTGTTCAAACATTGTACAGAATAGTCTTAGTGTTGTTCGTAATCATGTTGTTGTAATGGCATAATTCAAACAAGTTTATGCTAATAAAATGTAATGTTTCTTGCATCTAAATAGTTTGATTTGCATCTAATAGTTTTAGTTTGTCCACTACATGTATAGATAAAGTTGCATTCCCAATTTTATGATCTGCAGAAAAACTTTCACTGTAAGCATCATAAAGGTTTGGGGTTTTGTACAGTTCATGTGAACAGAATGATAGAGCTTTTATAATCACTTCAAAAACAAAGATTGCAGTGTTTGAAGATGTAGATTCTCAGGAGGCAACAGTACTGTTGACTTCTCTCTCCGCTGGATACCAACTAACTATTTGAGTTGATTTGCATACAAAGCAGAGCTTGCAACATGATAGTTATTCATAGAGGACGTTTTTTACTTTTCAAATAATACAGTCACACAATGAATATAATAAGGCAGTTCATATTTGTCTCAGTGAATTATTAATTTTTGACAGACACCTGTACGAAATATTTGGACAAAAGCCAGCTAAGATTTTCTGTTATCTTGCATGTTTTATGAATCTATTTACGTCTAAATGCAGCACTTTTTATTTTCTGAGATGAGACATTTGTTTTTATACTAAAATATCTGAATTACTTGAAATAAACCTGGAAATTATGTCCCTTAAAATAATTAAACAAATTAGGCACCAATGTTTTTGTAAGATATTTACATCAATCAGGGACATTCGGTGGACTGCTTTCCCAACTGTTGTTTCAATCCCAAAACTTGTTTGTATTCAAAATTAATTATGACAATGTATATTTATATTGAAACAAACTATGATAAAGGGAATTATATTATATAACAAAGGGCAAGGTCATCAGAGTTCAACTATGTTTATTTTTGTAATAATGTAATTTAAATAAATAAAAAATGTAAATTTGTAGACATGGGCAAGATGTAAAATGTAATCAGCTATTTTATTCGTCCATAATTTGTACAAAGATATTAATTTATGTAAGCGTATAAAGCATTAAATTAAATGTTGCAATTTCTAATTTTTATTCTTAAACTCAAATTATCAAAAATATTTTAAAAATGTATTTAGGAATTTACTTTATCTGTACAGTGTAAAAACCTATTTTATACTGTAGATGGAACTTTCATTTTATTTTCTGTAAAAACGTAAAATGCCGTTTTTATTTCCTGTAACCTGTACCAGCTATCCCTCTTTGCCTCCCCTCTTATTACTATTCATGGTGACCAAAATAATGAAGACGAGGTATTCTGCATATTATACAAAGTTGGATTGGAATTTTACTAAAGTACTGTAAACTGTCTTAATTTTGTGAGAAACAAAGGTTTGCTCAAACTTTTAAAATCTGCTATAGGTATGTCCTTTTAATTTTTTGCAAATGTTTTATTTAAAAAAAATATATATATTTATCATAATTGAATGAGTTGTGTTTTATATTTTTCCTATGGAGTCCTGTGTATTATCTTCATCAGGTAAAATAATGTGTTTGTCACAAAAATTTAGTATCTATTTACAAATTATCAGTAATTTTATAGAACTTTTATGAAACTATATTGAACCATCACATTATTTTAGAGAAACTATTTGTGACTACTATCAAGTGCTCCATGTGTTCAAAGTTCTTCTTCTTATTTTTTGATTTATAGTAAAAATGTAAATGTAATGGCTCGTCTTGCTGAGATGTCTCTTGATATTATAAAACAGACAGGATTCTTCCACAGTGGTCCTGGTGTGAGATGTACTGCCCTCAAGGGTGAAAGGTAAGTACTTGTATGCTGCCCTCAAAGGTGAAAAGTAAGTTCTTGTATGCTGCCCTCAAGGGAGAAAAGTAAGTACTTGCATCTTGCCCTCTAGGGGGAAAAGTAAGTACTTGCATCCTGCCCTCTAGAGGGAAAAGTAAGTACTCATATGCTGCCCTCAAGGGAGAAAAGTAAGTACTTGCATCCTGCCCTCTAGGGGGAAAAGTAAGTACATGATTAATTTGGCGGGTTCCCGCCTCAAGTGTCATGGCTCACCAATCACAAGAGGCCAGTAATGGATCCAGCATTCTGATTGGTCCATCACATTTTCTATTTCCCATTCTCTATTCCTTATTTTTGTTGGTACCTGTTAGTGCTGACGCTCATGCTCAATATAGAGAGCGGGGGTGTTGTTTGTGTTCATCATGTGCTAAAAATATTACTCTGATTGGAAGATTCATTTGTGGCTTGTGAATTTTATTCTGGGATTACAAATAATTTTGAAATAGCTGGGATGTTTTGAAGCTGGATGGAAATGAATTTAATATCAAAATAACATGAAATAATAGCGTCTCTTTTTTTTGTTATCAGATGTTCAGCCACTAACTGTACTGGTGATCAACCGGTAATACCAATCTGCAGACAGGTAAATCGATTGATTTATTTGTCAAACGTGCTCCAAAGATCAAAGTGACTTGTGATTTGTCTGTATGTGAATGAATGTGAGGGTTTTCAAGAAAAAAACGTGGATCCGGAAATCATTATTACGAGAATACCGAAAAGTATACACAAAGACAGTACAGTGGGAATATCAACAGACACGCAGCATAGGTCAATGCAATGGCGTACTGTCTAAGTATGCAATCCAAAAAGTTTAGAACAGATTTATTTATTTATTAACTTCTTTGTGTGGAGTCCAGTCAAACCCGGGGGGCTGCCATGTTTGTTTTTATTAGTAATTGCTCCATGTTTGGAATTTGAATTTCCTAATATGGTAGGATGAAATGCAATACCTCAAAATTACGGCACACTGTAACTTGTGGCGTTACGTTGACAGATGTATATGAATTTCTGTTATGTTTAGCATGTACTTGATAACGATGTAATTTAAAGCTAAGTATAATGTACCTTATTTTTCAGACTGGTGTTGTTAGAACCAATTGCGTTGACTGTCTTGATAGAACCAACACAGCGCAGTTTGCTGTCGGTAAATGCGTTCTAGGATACCAGGTAAATTCAAGTTCTTGGACTGTTTATCTCAAACCAGCTGTATATACAATGTACCTATGCGTCTGACTTGGTATTTTATTTTTAACAGAGCAAATCAACAAATATATTTTTCCCTGCTCTGTTTTTTATACAACTTGTCATTTATCTGTGAATGCAAAATAAATGTTAATTATTTACTTAAATCGATGATTTGAATCTCAATGGGCAGTGGTTACACGTACCACACATGTGCAGGATTGGTCTTGATAAACATTGCTTTTCTCCACAATCCAATGCACCAACCCAGCGGCAAGCATAAGCATGGCTTTTGATCTGAACGCAATGTGTTACTAAAGGCTGACTTCGATTCATTTGAATATTCTTTTATGTGTTCAAATCATTCCAGGAATTATCAAGTTGAACCTAGGTTACATCTTTTGTTTTTTTGTACTGTAGAATACTTAGTCGCCATCTTTGTTTGTGTGGGACCCATACGTCATGAATGCATTGCGCTATGACCATCAATTTTTAATGATCTCAGAAAAATTATTATAGCTATGAATTTACAGAACCCAACCTAACAAACTATTCCTATGCAAGATTAACTGCCTACTGTGTCTAAATAACTCTAGTCTTGTCTTTATTATTTTGACAGTTATATGCTCTTGGTGTTATCGACAAACCTGATGTGGATTTTGATTCAGACGCTATAAGGTGGGTCACAAATCGGTTATTTTTTTTTTTTAGGTACATCACATAATACTGTAAAAGGGTTAATTATTCACTGGGTTTTAATTTTGCTTATTTCATTGACTGGAAAATGTGCTAAATTAAAATCCAGTGAATATGTAAAATTTAGCATAGAACACATTATCTAAATAATAAAACCGTGAATTTAAAACCCACTGAATATGCCTGAAATGGTAAATCAGTGAAATTTAAACCCATGAAAATTAGTCATTTTACAGTACAGACTGTCTCCTTTTGTACAAAAGCTGTAATCTAGTAGTAACACATGGAGGTTAATTGTTGCATCCATGGATACTGAGTTAAAATCCTACCTGGAGTTCACCACCAAAAACAGTGATTCAACCCGTACCCTCAGTGAGTGTACCATGTACTCAATTGTTAGACAGTGGCTGAGTGCCATTCACTTTACAGATAAGATTTTTAGTAAACCTTTGATAACGTCTATACAAATGTAGTTGTTTTTTTTGGCCAAAAGTACAATATGTATGGTTATAAACTTTGGCCTAATCTTTCGGTGTGTCTTCATTTCAGAATGCTAGAAGATCTTTATGAAGATCACGGCGATACCCTTGCATTGCAATATGGTGGATCACAATTGGTGCATAGTATAAGTACTTACAGGAAGATATCCCCCTGGACCGCACATTCCAGAGATATTATGCAGACGCTATCACGATATTATAGCAATGCATTCTCAGGTTAGCAAAATCACACTTAGTTGCCTTGGTAACATTTGTACTTCACGGTTGTATATATCATTTGTTACAATGACAATAATTGACAAAAAAAATGGCTGATTTTTATATTAGCAAAATTATAAAATTCATAAATGTGAAACCCATTACTTGCTTTGTGGATAAACAGACACAAAAATGAACATATATTGTTCTTATCACAGATTCACTAATTTGCATTAGGGTTTTTAGAGACGATTTCTCTTGGGATTTTGAGGATTATATCGCAATTCTTGTGATATCATCATTGCATACCACACCCTTGCACACCCTAATCTTGTAATTGCTTGGTGTAACCTGTGATGTGTGTCGTAAATTCCAGCATTATGATTGGTTCATTGGCATGATAAGTTTTACCTGTAATCAGAGAAATTAATGTGAGGTTATTTGGAGGATACTGCAGTATTCTCGTAATAACCTTATTATTATACATTTTTTCCTCCCAGGAATTCACCATACCATGGGAATGTCGAAATCAAAAATGTTTAGAACAGATTTAGCGAACTTCTTTGTATGGGGTCCGGTCAAACCCTGGGGGCAGCCTTGTTTGTTTTTTATTATTAGACGACTCGTAACTGGTATTTCAAATTTGTATTTTCTAATACCGGTATGGTAGGATGAAAATACCCCGTGCAATACCACAAAATTACGACACACTGTAACTTATGGTGTTACGTTGACAGATGTATAATAATATGTATTATGACCCGAAGTAGCAATTTTTGGTAATCAAATGAAATTCACACTTTCCTTTTCTTGATGCTGATATTATTATGTTGTTACTGACAGATACTGAAAAGCAGAGCTGTTTAAATTTATTTCTGGGAGTGTTTGAACCGTGTGAAGATAAGCCACCGATATGGGATTTGTCAACAGATTATTATTTACATCATAACGACACTATGTCATTGATGCCACGAAAGAGACCATGGTAAGACAAAATAAAAGAAAACTTCACATTTATGGACTGATAGCATTTGTTTATAACGTAGACTGTCAACAGTCCTCAGACCTAATTTGTTAGTACCGTACTCAACCTCGTTAGCGCCCATGCCCAGGCAAGCACCTACCCCCACTTTTGCGCAATTTTTATATTTGAGGTCACATTTGGCAAAGCGCCCACCCCTTCAAAATGCAACTAATTTAAAACTTGGTCTTGCGTAACGAATCTTGGTAATCGTTTTTATATGATACAGCGACCGCTGTGAACATGTTGTAAATGTGTAGAACACGGTAACCATGCGTAAACTACGCTTCAACAATGACCTGTTAATACAAGTAGAATGCGGTAAATATTTCATGCCATATTCAGTTTACCTCTCAAAAATGGCTAGTTACTAGTTTTTTGGAAAACGCTGAAATCAATTCCAACAGATCGTACGTCGACATCGATAATTCACTTCCGCATTGCGTTACCGGAAAGTCTTCGAGAATTTACGAAGAATTGCGTCAGTACAACACAGCATTCTGATTGGTTAATAACCAACTTGACCCATTAGGTCAAAAGACGCTGCTGCGGAAAGTGATTTTCATCGAGAGTTTGTGTACGATCTTTGTCAGTGGAGATAATATGACAATTTTGACTTCGACTGTGTTCCAACAGACTCAAATGTTTTTAATTTCCTAAATTCTAGTGGTACGTGTAATTAATATTGTAATAAAATGTGCATATTTTTTGTGATCTTTTCTGTTTCTTCATTGTGAAAATTAATGACGACTCAACTAATTTCGTAATTTGATTTTCCCTCAAAGAGGTAATCTGCCACTTGATGAATCAAATTTTTCATTTGCACTCTTTTTCGAGGGGGTGCTCAGGTAAGCACCCTCCCCTAAAAAAATTATGATTTTCTGAGTTGAGGCTCCTGGGCGCTAGCGCGGTCGAGTACAGTATACTAAATCAGCAAAAGCAAATGCAGGCATTTCAGTGGAGGCCTGAGGACTGTAAACGCTTGTAAACGTCCTCACACGACATTACATGGTTTTCCACCATGCTGAACAGAGAAATATTGACAGCTCATGCAACGTCACAAAACAACGAGCCAATCGCAGATTTGGTGGACACTTCATTGCAAAAATTATTCACATCGGCAATGACCAAAATATGTGATACTGCAGTGATAATAAATACGCTTTGACGTTTACTAATGTTGGTCTCCGGTTTGAAACTCTGAAAAATATCTGCTGATCACGAGCACGAAAGAACAGCGAAAAAAGCACATGGATCCGTGACCTTTATTTTGTTGACCTCTAAGCAGGAAGTGAACCGAGCCATGCTTCGCCTATTATTTATCTAAAGTACTAATTATTCCATTTCAATGAAACTTAGTACAGAGATGCTCTTGAACAATGTACAAGCCTAATTAGTTTGGGGTAAAAATGTGTTCATATTAATTCCCTAATAAGCATAATAATTCATAATTTTTTTATTCTAATCACATTTCAATTAAACTTGGAAACATAGATTTTCTGTTACATTGCGCAGACCTCATTAGTTTTACACTCAAATCTGTTCATATTAATTTTCTGATTTGCATAATTAGTTTTCAGCTAAGTAATTTCGAATTATATTTAATGTGTCTCCAATACTCTCAGCACATGGGAGTTCTTTCTAAGCTTTCTTTGATTTATATATATGTGATGGCAGAGTTTTTATCAAATCATTAAGAAATATGATTACAGTGAAGCTGATGTTAACATTGTGAACTAGCATCAGCCAATCATCTTTGCTCAATTATGTCAGGTGACTTTGACATAGCCAGGTTTTTGTTTTATTTCAAGCTATACCGAATGGTTTGATTTGACCACGTTGAAAGCCCTCCCATTTCCTTATGACGAAGAATCTAAAACCATCAATGGAGGGGATGTTATTATTGGTTACCTTGGTGATGAGAGGGTTGATCCATACATTGAGTATTACAAGCCACATGAACTTACCGTGTACAGCGACCTCTTTTATTATAGTATGTCACACTCAATCAGGTAAGACGAATATTACTGGTCATGTGATAGTTACATGGTAGTCATGTGATATCTTTCTGTCCTTATATAGATATGACAAGCACCCTTTATATGGAAGTCACTGTGACCCCCCGTTACTGTGTCTTCATACCATCTATGAGGTTATTACAGTGGGAGAATTGACCCATGCTCAGCGGAAGTTGATGCGACGGCGTACTGTCTGAGTGCATACTTTGAGGTATCCTCTTAATAACTTTATTATTATACATCTTTTCCTCCCAAGGATACATCATGGGAATGCCGAAATCCAAAAAGTTTAGAACAGAATCAGCAAAATTCTTTGTGTGGAATCCGGTCAAACCATGGTTGCAGCCATGTTTGTTTTTATATTAGAAGACGCTTGGACGCTTACGCTCGTAATCATTAAAATTTGGAATTCGCATTTCTTCATATGGTAGGATGAAAATACTGCAAAAATTACGACACACTGTAACTTATGGCATTACGGTGACAGATGTATAATACTATGTGTTATTATACATGCATCTAAGAGTCATATGAGTATAAAAAAAAGACTGCATGTTGCTGCATTTTTGTCATCAAAATTATTTTTTTTTTATAGAGATTTTATGCCAAAGTTTGTAGTAAATTACAGTCCATTTGCTGTCAGGGTGCAACCGGGAAGAAGAAAAGAATCAAGGTTAGATAAGTTTTTTAGTTCTGCTGCACACAGATTTTTTGATATGTAGTGTTTGTTTGTGCTGTGAAATGAGCTCATTCAGATGTGTTCATTTTGTGGCATTATCTGCATTTTTAATAGTCTTATTTTTATGACTTGTGTTTTGACCTCTGTGTGTCCGTGCGTGCGTCCGGACCTGTATCTTTGAAATGCCTAGGCCAATCACAATCAAACTTCACACATACATTATACATGATATTATACATATGCACATCATTTTGTTTCACGATCTGATTCAAGATGGCCGAATGGCGGCCTTTTTTGTGCTAAAAATCATCAAAATCAAGCATTTTTCGGTTGTTTACAGATGGTATATACGTTACAAATTATAGGACCTTGATGCACATCATTTTGTTTTTCAGATAAGATTTAAAATGGCCGACTGGCGACCATTTTGTTTTAATGAATGTGGTTCTAGTGCCATATCTCTGACTTGCTTTGACTGATTATGTTCAAATTTTAAATATTCATTATAGATCATGGCATAGATATACAGATATATTTGTTTGACAATCCTATTAAAAATGGCCGAATGGTGGCCATTTTTGTGCTAAAAAATCATCAAAATCAAGCATTTCCCGGCTGTTTACAGATGGATTTTGTTCAAACCTTGTATATACGTTGGACATTATAGGACCTTGATGCACATCATTTTGTTTTACGATCTGATTCAAGATGGCCGAATGGCAGCCATTTTTGTGCTAAAAAATCATAAAAATTAAGCATTTCTCGGCTGTTTACAGATGGATTTTGTTCAAGCTTGATTTATACATTAGACATGGGACCTTGATGCAAATAATTTTGTTTTTCAGATAACATTCAAAATGGCCGACTAGACCCATATCTCCGACTTGTTTTGACTGATTATGTTCAAATTTTAAATATTCATTATACATCATGTCATAGATAGACAGATATATTGGTTTGATGATCCTATTCAAAATGGCCGAATGGTGGTCATTTTTGTGTTAAAAAATCATCAAATATCAAGCATTTCTTGCATTTATAGATGGATTTTGTTCAAACTTATAACATACATTAGACATTACAGGTTCCTGATGCACGTCATTTTATTTTTCAGATTGGATTCAAAATGGCTGACTGGCGGCCATTTTGTTTTAATGATTGGGCTTCTAGAGCCATATCTCTTAAATGCTTTGACTGATTATATTATTAGTTTTGTTTGCTTGGTTTCTAGGAAAGGCAATCAGAAAGCATCAGCAGAGCGTAAGAATGCAGCTGGGTCTCCAAGCGCTACCTCCTCTGATAGTAATAGTAGCAGTAGTGATGATGGGAGTAGTTCCGATGAAGATGGATTGTCATTCAGTGCATCGCCAATGTCACCATCACCAAGAGGAGGTGATAGATCTCTGACACTTAATGTAAGAGGATACTAACTATCCTGACTTGAGTACTGTGCATACTGCCACAGCAAATGCAACATTAGGTACTCCATATAGTAGTGCTTAACATAATATAAGATTATTACGAGGATACCTTAAAGTATGCACGAAGACAGTACAGTGAGAGTATTGACTGACACGCATCGGGGATTGATGTGCCGATGTACTGTCTGAGTGCATACTTTGAGGTATCCTCGTAATAACCTTATTATTTTACATCTTTTCCTTCCAAGTATACATTATGGGAATGCCGAAATCTAAAAAGTGTAGAACAGAATCAGTGAACTTGGCAGCCATGTTTGTTTTTATTATTAGAGGACTCTTACGTGTATAATCATTCCATATTTGGAATTTGCATTTCCTAATATGGTAGAATGAAAATACCTCGTAAAATACCGCAAAATTACGGCATGCTGTAACTTATGGCGTTTCGGTGACAGATGTATAATAAATTATGTGTGTGTCAGTTTTTTGAATGTTTTTTTTTTATAAAAATAAAAAATAAATTGACCTGCTGGGCTGTATATATACCATTTCAGTGACACACATCACTTATATTGCGAGTAAGTCATTAAGTCCACTAACTTGCGAATAGAATATCAAATGCACCAAAAACATTGATTCAATATGTAATTCTTTTCATAGGATTATTTCCCAACTATGGCACAGTCATATGGAGTGGAGATCTCTAAATATAAAAGGCATGACATACAGGCATATCAACGGTAAGTTGATACACAGACTTAAAGCTAAACATCTTACATATATTTACAAATGACATGACTTCCTAGGTGTGTTATTTCATTGCTATAGTGATGACATTATAAACACATTTATGGTTTTATGTCTCCCGCCACCTCTCATTTTTAAAATGCCTGAGAGATTGCGTTGAGAGATAGTCACATGGGTGGAATAAGCCACACTGATTGGACAAGAGACAGTCACATGGGTGGAATAAGCCACACTGATTGGACAAGAGATAGTCTTGTGGTTGGAATAAGCCACACTGATTGGACAAGAGATAGTCACATGGGTAGAATAAGCCACACTGATTGAACAAGAGATAGTCACATGGGAGAAATAAGCCACACTGATTGGGCAAGGGATAGTAGTCACATGGGTGGAATAAGCCACACTGATTGGACAAGAGATAATCACATGCGCACCTTTTATCCTAATAAATTGTTGAATATTGGCATCTGTACCTGCATAACTACCTCTAGCTGTCCCTCACTATACCCAATAATTGCACACGAGTGAGTAATATTATAATTTGTTGTCTAGATTTGTATCTGTTGAAATGAACGCTAAACACAGTGTCATCACAGAAGTCTTATTGTCACCTGATCTGGCACCCATTAAGAAATGTATGAAACGCACTACAAGGCTGTAAGTATTGGGGCTGATTTGCCTGTATATTGCCTTCTCACTGCATTTATTGACTCCTCTAACTTGTATATTGCCTTCTCACTGCATTTATTGACCCATCTAACTTGTATATTGCCTTCTCCCTGCATTTATTGACCCCTCTAACTTGTATATTGCCTTCTCCCTGCATTTATTGACCCCTCTAACTTGTATATTGACTTCTCACTGCATTTATTGACCCCTCTAACTTGTATATTGCCTTCTCCCTGCATTTATTGACCCCTCTAACTTGTATATTGCCTTCTCACTGCATTTATTGACCCCTCTAAACTTGTATATTGCCTTCTCACTGCATTTATTGACCCCTCTAAACTGTTTACAGGCTTCTTGCATTTATTAACCCCTCTAAACTTGTATATTGCCTTCTCACTGCATTTATTGACCCCTCTAACTTGTATATTGCCTTCTCACTGCATTTATTGACCCCTCTAACTTGTATATTGCCTTCTCACTGCATTTATTGACCCCTCTAACTTGTATATTACTTTCCCACTTCATTCATTGACCACCCTAAAATCTATATATTGCCTTCTTACTGCATTTATTGACCCTCTTCAATCTGTATATTGGTTTCGTATTGCATTTAATTTGTATATTATTGCATTCCGTATTGCTCCTTCCTATATGTATCTGTACCACTTTGTCCACCTGAATAGAGCCTTTGCACTGCTTTTCACACTTCCATATTGTCTTCTGATTCAATTGCTTTACCATTCTATATATATATCAGTCTCACTACTTTTGTTATGTATATTGCCTTTTCATTGCCATTATTGTTCATTCCCACCAGTATATTGCCTTCACATTGGATTTATTGTCCATTTCCACCAGTATATTGCCTTCACATTGGATTTATTGTCCATTCCCACCAGTATATTGCCTTCACATTAGATTTATTGTCCATTCCACCAGTATATTTCCTTCACATTGGATTTATTGTCCATTCCCACCAGTACATTGCTTTCACATTGGATTTATTGTCCATTCCCACCAGTATATTGCCTTCACATTAGATTTATTGTCCATTCCCACCAGTATATTGCCTTCACATTAGATTTATTGTCCATTCCCACCAGTGTATTGCCTTTACATTGCTTTTATTGTCCATTCCCACCAGTATATTTCCTTCAGATTGGATTTATTGCCCATTCCCACCAGTATATTGCTTTCACATTGGGTTTATTGTTCATTCCCACCAGTATATTGCCTTCACATTGCTTTTATTGTCCATTCCCACCAGTGTATTGCCTTTACATTGCTTTTATTGTCCATTCCCACCAGTATATTTCCTTCAAATTGGATTTATTGCCCATTCCCACCACCATATCCTCTTCACACTACCATATCCTCTTCACACTACTTTTATTGCCCATTCCATCTCCATTATTTCTTGCTTACCTTCGATATACATTCTACATTGCTTTCTCTCTGCCTTCATCTATTCTGATTTGTAGACCTATGCTTCTAAGATAATATCTACCTTCTCACAGACAGTATATTACCCCTTCCTGTATATTGCCTCTTAAAATCTTTATACCGACACCTGTCGCTTTTAAATGGTGCCATCTGGTTTCCATGTGTATCAGTTCTTCCTCTCAATTCATTTCACCATCCAAAAGGTATGTTTTATTATGTTGATCCTCCACAGCGTACCGACCAGTGTATTCTCACTAGACAGTTCAAACTATGTGGACCCACCCACAGTAGACAGAGCATCAAAGAGACTCTATGAATCGTATGTATCAAAAGGAAAGCAAGTACCAGCCACTTGTGAAGGGGATGACTATGATATATATAGAAAGTATGTCATTCAGAAATATGACCGCAACTGATAGGAAGTGTACTGCTTTATGACTATACTTCTGGAAATTTGACAAACTTTGAATCAGTTTTCACACAAAAAAAATTGGCTATTTTTGTCTTAATCTTCTGAAGGATCGTGAAGGCTATTTTGTGATGAAAAGAGGGAACTGGTGGTGAAAATGCTAAGGGATGTCAACTGACAATCATGTTTCACTGCTTTTAATAGACTAGTATGAAGTTCTGCTAACTGGGGGTGAAAACATACATGTAATGTAAGACTTTAATGCTATACTCATAGGATTGAACTACCTCCATAGTGGTTCTGATTTCCTACACCGAGCACATTGATCAGAATTGCCTGTGATAATTTAATATGAATACAGATGCGTTGATTATTTCTAGAGCTTGATATTGAATGTGGCATGTATAAATATAATTGCTCAAGTAAATCGGATTGAACTGTTTTGTTTTCTTTTATTCAAAATGGCAACTGTCATAGTACAAAACCAGTATTATTTTTGACGAAAAGTGGAAGCTGAAAATTTCACTGATGGTATATGGGTCATCACATCATGACAAAGACTGCTTCAGATTCACTGGTTTGTGCAATGTACATTTCAAATAAAACTTATTTATATTTACATATTGTGTGATTTTGTTTAAATTAAAAAACACTACTATCGATCAATATTGCACCACAATATAAAGATTTGCATTTAATAAAATCCCAAAAGCTTGAATATGTATTCATCCTGGTACAAGAAGTGACTGTGGTGTATAAACCAGAACTCTCTCATCCCATGAACAGTCAACAATCTGAAAATACATAAAATGAATACGTTTGTTACAGGCCCTCTTGTGGTGACTTTATGCAATGATTTTGTTTTTCTTTTATACATTTGGAAGCAGAATTTTATGATCCAAATACGATATTCATTTCCAGATTTATCTAAATTAGGTAAAAAGAATTAAAATTCATTTTGGGAAACATACGATCAATTACCACTAGTAATCATGACATTATTGACATGAAACCTCAGGTCTAAGATTTGTACATGTACAAGGAAAAAATGAATATGTTGAAAAAAAATGTCAAACAAGCTGCTCTATGATTTGGTCTGACTATTGCACATTTTTTCAGTGGGCTGGTAAAATAAGGACGTCACCTGCACAATTTGTTTTTGAATATCACAGGATAAGAGCCTAATATCCGAAGATACATTTTACAAACCTGCCCAGGTATATGCAGATTGAAGTCAATACCACATACAAACTCTGTATGGTGTCGTATACATTCTAGTTGCTTCTGAGGTGTTGAGAAGTCCCATAGTCTGACACTGAAGTCGTAGGAAGATGATGCTACTATGTTGCCATGGTGAGGGGAACACTGAAACAGATAGTTTTAAATTAAACAAGGATCCTATTAAGATGATTGCTATTGGGGGATAAACACCATACTATCACTAACTATAAACCCTGGTGTTATAACGTCCCAATGTGCTTTCTTGAACACTTCTCTACATATTTCATAAATTATGTACAACTCTGTTTAGAAGGTAAAAACTTACTTTCAATCTCCTTACTGCATACTCGTGACCAGAGAGTGCAAATATTGGTTGCCTAGGGTTACGAAGATCCCAACCATGGATTTGGCTATCCACGGATCCCGTAACTAGCAGGTTCTGAAACAATAACAAAAGGTCACATTATCCATGACTTACAGTTGATAAGAAAGTGAAATAAATCATCATTGTACAATTATCAAGAATATATTTACAGTGAAAGACAAAAAAGATTCATAGAAAACAAGTCATTGAAAATGACACTGTCCCCGTTAAGTTCTCTTTGTGCTCGTCATATTAAAGTGGAGGGGTTGTCGCGAGCGTGTCCTTGAAACTTGAGTTCCAAGTGGCGTATACAACAGATTGTTTATTTACATCAAAAGACGTGTTTCGTGTCATAGTAATATGGCCAAAATAAAAACAGCCGTTATTCAGCCATCTTTGATCTGATTATGAAACACACTGATATGTATGATATATGTGCCAAATACAAATGAAAATGGTACATAAATTGTGG